TCAGCAGGAGGTTGAACTAGAGACTCCCTTACAACCTGATTGATTCTCTGATACTGAGTCACAGAATATTCTTCAAAGCACTTGGATGCCTGCATGTTTGAACAGTGTTTTTACACTGAAGAGATGAAAGTATGATATGCTGATCTGTAGGTGTTTTAGGATATTAATTCCCAGATGGACAAGTATTTTAACCTCTTGACAGTTGAGAAAACATAATTGTTGGATAGGCCTGCTTTAACTCTCTTGTCAAGGACAGTTAATTGCTTGTGGCATAAGAAAGCTGTGGTTTTCCATGTGTTCAGTTTGTTTAAAGTGTAACATTTTAAATAGTGGTAAGGGTCATGTCACTTCTGAATACTGAATTGAATCACTGTGCCAATGTCTGTGGCATAGTTAATTCAAACTTCAAATATTTGTCTATAATGAGCAATCTTGCATTTGTTTAGAGGATGGAGAAGCTAGAGAAAGAGATGAAATCAGACATGACCGGCGCAAAGAGAGACAGCATGACAGAAATCTTTCCAGGGCAGCCCCTGACAAAAGGTGAGCCTCAAAAGCAAGCTGCTTTATTCCTGTACTGGCACTGGCTTCCCTGCTAGGGAAACTATTACACTGGGCTTCCTTTTGCTTGATGCAAGTGCCTGAATTTTTACCTTGTGGAGATACTCACTGGTATGAAGCACTATTCAGTCATTGTATGAAATGGTATTACTGTGTTAGTGGCCTGCAGTACTTTCTTCTAAATTTAGAAATTTCCAAATGAATGGAGGTGGAGGGGTGTTGATTTTGGGTGTGTTTTTCTTTTGCAGAACTTCAGTATATTCAGATTTAATTAACATGTTGACAGCAAAGGTTGAAACCTGGATCCGGTAACTTCAGTGAGACCAGAGTATCATTAGTAGCTTTGTTTCTTGAAGCTGTTCATTTGCAGTAAGCTTATATTTATGAGTGTAGGCTGAAGTATCTTGTTTGCCCAAGCCAGTGAGATATCTGAGCACAAATGGTTTCTGGAGGCTTAAAATCTCTAATATCTTAAAATTAGATTGCTCGGCCTTCCCAGAATATAATTACACTGATTCTTGCAAAAAATAAATATGATATTTTAGACCAAGTCAGCTTAATGTAAATCGCAGATACTGGAAAGCAAATTTAAATGTCATGCCCAGCTGAACATAACCTTTCCCAAATGTTTCCTTTGCCAGGAGACAAATGTTACTAGAAGGAAGGGTAACAGTCAAAACCTGGCTCCTGAGGCAAATTGTTAGCAACTAATACAGGATCAGGTTGCAGTTGAGCATGTCCACAAATACGGTTTACTGACTTAATAAAACTTAAAATTTTTAATTCAGGTCAAAGCTGCAGAGAAATGAGAACAGAGATATCAGTGAAGTTATTGCCCTAGGGGTACCCAACCCCAGGCCATCCAATGAAATCCAATATGACCAGAGGCTGTTCAACCAGAGCAAGGTAAAAATACCTTTTCACAGCTGTGTAGCTTTCTATGAGAACATGCTCATCCTTCCTTAGTGGGTATGGCTAGACTACTAAAGGGATGCTGTTCTCATGGTTGGCGTGGATACACTCTGAAAGAAGTCTCTACATAACCGGTTAGGGAGCTATTGATCTCCTTTGTGCATAGCTGATGCAACAAAAATGGAATATTCTGGATGTATAACTGGATTAAAGTGTGGTTTTTGTCACTGGGGAGTGGGGAGAAAGAAGCTCTTTTGCCTTCAAGCTGCAGTGACCTCATTTTCTTTTGTACAAATGTACTGAGTGAATAAGGGAAATATGCTCTGAGAGAGAAGCAAGTAAATACTTTCTATTACTATTATTGCTTATGTTAAAAATCCTTCTGAAGATATAAATAGTTAACAGCAACATCTGTTTTCCCTGAACTTTATACTATTCAGAGATGAAAAACTAGATTAGGCTTCAGAAAGTCCCTGAATAGACCTGCAGTTTGTCAATCATTTTTTTTCACATCTCCAATGAAAGACTTGCAGGCAGAAGGGAAAGCTGATGAATCAAAAGTGAACAAGCAGGCACTTCTACTTTCACAGTTTACGTAAGCCTCTGTGTGATTTGGATCAGTCAGCTTAAATCACGTTTTCTAGAAATTCTGAATAATACACATTTCTGTATGGTTGTACTTGGCTATTGTAGACAGCTGTACTTGCAGAGCAGACTGAAATGATTCATTATTCTGAAATACAAATGGCCTGTAATCCTTCCTGTTGCTTTCTGGAAGAGTAGAAGTGGCCCTGACCAAGGCTGGTAATGATCATGTCATGTCCTAGGGATTTAATCCCAGACCCAAAACCACTCATATCCTAATGAAGTGCTTGAACTCATTTTAAATCAACAGCAAATCACACAATACCATCTTTGTCTATCTGTGTCACACCCATCAGTTTATCTTGATGTTAAACTAAAGTAGCTGAAGTTTTGCAGACTCATTTGTGTTACACTGCTGCTGTTCTTCACAGGGTATGGACAGTGGCTTTGCTGGAGGAGAAGATGAAATTTATAATGTTTATGACCAGCCTTGGAGAAGTGGCAAGGATATGGCCCAAAACATCTACAGGCCAAGTAAAAATGTGGATAAGGACATGTATGGCGATGATCTAGAGGCTCGAATAAAGACCAATAGGTAAGAAAATAAAGTTAAGAAAGATTCTTAATTAGCACTCTGAAGTTACAATCAACCGAGTATCACCTCTTCTCCTGCAGGTTTGTTCCTGACAAAGAGTTTTCTAACTCGGATCGTAACACCAGAGGGAGGGGCAGAGATGGACCGGTTCAATTTGAGGAGGATCCATTTGGTTTGGACAAGTTTCTGGAAGAAGCTAAGCAACATGGTGGTTCTAAACGGCCATCAGATAGCAGCCGCCCTAAAGAACATGAGCATGAGAGCAAAAAGAGGAGGAAGGACTGAATGCCTCTGTTCCTTGAGAGGTAGAGAAATGGACTACAAGCTTGGACTTCACGCAAAAGGCATTTTTAATATCAGGTGTATAGAGGGGTGGCATTGTAACACAGCAGTTCACAGCTCTTTGTCGTGTGGATATATACACACACACTAATTCTTCTACATAGGACAGCTACCCCTGGAGAGTGGAGGAACAGAATCACTTTAAAACATTTCACAAGGGAATTACTCTTTAGCAAATGCTCTGACTTTGCTGATTCCCTGTTGCCCAGCATCTCAGGGTAAGAATGTAGCCCCTTCCTACAGCTTTAGTTTTTGTAGGTAGCTAAAGCTTTTACTTCATCTATTAAAAGCTTTCCTGCTGTATATAATTACTGTCTTATGCTGTAATGGATGCTAGGGAGTTTATGTTTCAGTGTTTCTTTAGTGTGGCTATACAGTTTATTTGAACAAGGAGGGGAAACAGCTGGATTCTGTTAAAAAAAGACAGACTCATTCATAGTTTCTCAGTAATCTTTATTTTAGTTTCTTTACATTTAGTGAAATAAAGCCTCCTTCAACTGCTCACTCACTTTGATTCTTTTATTGATTGTGTCTTCTATGGGCCTGCTGTTTGAGCACAAGCTGAAAACAATGGTAATTATTCAAATTAGTTAGGCAAGAAGGTTTGATATTTTTCATTTCTGATCTTCTAAAATATTCATATGGAAAGCAGAAGCTGGGTTTATAACTGGTTCAGTTTCATGAGCCATAACGACAAATGCTAAGCTCCTGATGGGAAAGTTGAATATAATTTGCACAGCAATTGCTAGTTGTATCAGCAAAATGCATCTTAAAAGCTTGTGCTTTCAAGTGGAACTAATAGAAGGTAACTGTCTAAACCTAGCCTAGAACAAAGTGGGAGAACTGCTCATGTATTTTGCTTCTAGAAAAGCTTGCATTTTTGAAGAAATGAAGAACGCTAACTACTGCCTGCCTTCTGCTCTTTATTTCACTATAAAGAAGCCTCTTAGCTCTCGCACCTCTTGTGAGAGTATAGTCCTTGAAGCCACATTCACTTAACTGCCTAGGCTATCTTACAGCTTCAAGAATAAAAAAGTAGCAAAATAATTTCCAAGAAATTGACACTAAGTACTCATCTATGATATTCCGAGTAATAATTCTGATAATTCCATACATATAACATCCTTGCTGTTTTCAGCCCAATTTATGAGGGATCAGCCTGTTGCCTGGCTTGTCACAGTTCAAGACTGTAGTCAACAAACCACTCCTTAATTTCTGCTTCCATTTTTGCACTACAGTTCTAACTCACAGGTCAGCTCTTCTTAGGAATAGATACTGAAGTAACCACAACCACTGAAGACTTCTGCAGTAGTATGAATCCTGTCAAGCAAAATACTTTATCACAATCAACATACTGCATCCCTGAAGTCTCTTGCCAGTTCATCTTACTCTTACCATCTCCTAGCATTGAAAATGTCAAAACAAGAAACTATTTGTCAGAAGGATATTGAAGAATTCTTATTAATTATTCAAATACATGAATTGATAGGGTCTGTTATACCAGCCTGCTTGTGGTTTCACTCTGTACTACTAGATCTGCCTAGCTAGGTCAGCTGAAGCAGATACAAGTCTACAAGAAAATCCCCTTGGTAATTTGCCCCTATTTAGCAAACATACTAGATGCAAGTTTCTAATAATTTTGACATGAGACCTGTTAATTATTAATGGTTTTGGGCAGTCATTGACTCACTGTCATTTTATCCTTATCAACACAACTGCATAATAAGTGTTTGGAAAGCAGTGGGATAGCTATTTCCTTGCTCTATTTATTTGCTGCAGTGAAGCTAGATGATACAGTTGTCTACCTCTAACTGACCAGTCAGTGACAGGCACCTTTGTGTGGGTACTAGACCACAGGTCTTTAAGTGATGCCATACACTGTCTCTTGATACCATACGCTAATGCACTGAGATTGCCAAAGTGTTGTATTTTTTCCTTTACTAACATTTAAAATGTTGGAGACAGCAAGTTAAAAAAAAAAAGCTACACTACAGCTAATTTAAAGTTATCTTGAACACATGAAAGCAGGCAGCTGATTTTTCCTGTACAAAATGATAGCTGAAGAAAAAAAGGTATTTTCACTAAAGTTCAAAGCTTAGCTTTACATTCTTTGTCATCTTTCCCCCGCCACCCAACATCCAAATTAGATGTTGGAATCCATCTGCAGAAACCTATATTATGAATAACAACTAGTTACATGGCAGTTCCTGAACAGTTTTACTGTATTCTTATTCCTTTAGCTTAGCCTAGCAGGAGGTTTTGATCTCTGGTATGGGGTCTCTGTGGTACCTGTATGAGCTCAGACCCTAATGAGTCCAAGTTGAGAGGGGGGAATAAACAAAAGTGTTAACGATTTAAAAAACAGTAAAAGCACACCAAGTAGCAAAATGCTTAATCACACTTGTATGTGATTAACGAGTATGGCAATATTTTGATGTTACTGAATTAAAGAGCTCAACTCATTACATTACTTCATTAAAGGAATTAGCACATTACCTTGGCACCTTCAAGTATGTGGGAGTCCTTCTGAAACACGTTCTGAACATCTTGTTGCGTAGAGAATTTAATCCAGCAATAACGTTTGTGAAAGCCTGTATCTTTGTCCTAATTACCAGTTTAAAAAAAAAAATCCAATTACTGTAGAAAATGTTCACAGAGGCTGTTAAAAACTTTCTAAGGATATTCAATTTAAGGATTCAGAAGTCATCAGAGAAATCTACACCCTTCCTGTTTCAGAAGCCTTTTTCACACTTTAAGACATTTACTTTCATTGACAGCATGTGGAGACCTAGCAGAGGCTGTTCTGCATCTCTCTCTCAATTTGAGTCCAGCAATCATAAAAAATTTAAGATTTTAAGTTATAGTTGAAGACTGGAATAATGCATAGCCGGTTGTTTCAAACTGCAGTAGTTATCTACTATTAAGCCAGTCACAACAGAACTGACATTAAATGGCTGCCTGATTTGAAAATAAGCCTGCCACAGTACTTGAAAAGCTTTCAGTATCTTAAGCAGCTGCTTTATCTTGCTAAGAAAGCAGGCTGCAATTCAAGATGACAAGCACTAACTGCACTGAAAAGAGAAAAAGAAAATGTTATGTTTAAGAATAATTTGCCAGTCGGAAAAGACAGTTGTCAATAAAGAGGAGATAATGCAGAAAAGCCAGGTCTACCAAAGTGCCTTTTATCCCAACTCTTATCCCCATCAGAGTTCACAACAGCTCTGCCACTCTGATCATCAAGCATGACTGGCAGCACTCCCAAACACCAGTGAAGTTTCCACCCACAAGGTAGTGTAGTCACACTGCTCAGTTTCAGTACCCAGTGATGTCTTAATTAAGGGCATCTTACACTCCTGGCAGATTTTTGTACCTCTGGCAGTTTTAAGCGTTAATGAACACTCCTAATCACTGAATCAAAACATATGCACATGCATCAGCTTTAATCAGTGATGGAGGTACGTTTACAGTAAGGTGCCAGCCTTTGCAATGAAGCAATCCATTCTGTTCTGGGCCTGAGGAACAGAGCATGGTGGGCAGACACCTAAGCTTCAGAAATAACCAGACTGTTTCAAACAATCTTTATTTCCAAACCAGTCCTCAACTGATAGCGAACCTATCACCTCACTAACTGAAGTTCACTACACACTGAGCTTAATTTAACAGACCATTACTTCACATGGAGAAACACGAGCAGGCAGGAGAACCTCTACTCCTTCAGCAATGACCTACAATTTATCTGTAACAGAGTGGGAAAGGAACACTTTCTTTGACTCTTCATCTAAGAAACTGCACTAGATACTATTATCCCTAACGTACATGCTCAGAAGATTAACCTAAACAGCAGAGGCATGAACAGCTGGCAGCTTGGGAGCATCCTGAAGAGGCTTGTGAGTTTTGCATTAGCCCCACACTGTGCATGGAGTATGAACCCATAGCAGGAAAAGACTGTAGGTTCATATCTGCACCTTTACATTTTTCAGGCTAGTGAGACCTGGAACATAAACACTTTATTCTTTGTCAGAAAAAAAGATAACACGATGACAGAGAAACTCAAAGTACTTTTAGGTTAATTATTCTGAAATGGCAGCATCAACAGGATCTGAGGGATGTGCTTTCCAAAGCTCTTTCAAAGCCAATGGAAACCACTAAGCTTCAATGAGGCCTACAGCTCACATGAGCGGCAGCACTCACTAGGAGAAGGAACTAAAGGTGGAAAACGAACCGAAAATTTTACTAAAGTAAAAGAAGAGGCTTCCAGAAAGCAGCTCCGAGGGACCCGGCTCCGGGACAGGGCCGCAGCAGCAGGACCAACCCCGCCGGGGCCCGGCGAGCACCAGCCGGCGGCTCTTCCCCATTTTACCGGAGAGACACGAATGGCATGGAAGATGAGCGCGTACTCACAAACGGCAGCTGGCACCTCTGTACCGACCCGAACTGGGAGAAGTACTCCTTCAGCTCCTCTGTGGAGGAAACGCGCACCTGGTTACACGGGCCCAGCACCCCAGCGCAGCAGCAACCACCCTGGCCCGGCCCCC